ACCCCTCCCATTGCTAGAATCTGCTGGTGTTTCAGAAAGGAGGGGGTGGATTTTGCTCATTACTTATTCCGCTCCAGCCTGACTTCAAAGGGGGAGTCTGAGTGTTATCTGTGTATAGATAAGGTCGCTGCTCATGCAGCTGCAACACTCAGTGCAGTCTAGCGTCTCCATTTACTCTGTAGTTAGTTTGTATAGTAGCTGTAGAGAATAAAAGAAGTTATTCTACAGAAGCTGTCGTTCGTGTGGTTCCTGCTTCCTGCGTGGGGGGTCTCTGGAAGTGCTTTCCAGCTTGCCTGGCCCAGTCGGGGCTGAAGAGGTTGAGCCCAGTCGGTGGCACTGGCTCAAAGGCGAAGCTGAAAGATCATGTTATAGGATTTTTCCCTTATAGATGAAAATGTTTGCAGATATTGAATGAAATGCTGTAAAAAAAAAAAGCTGAAATTCAGTCTTATATAAAAGAACTGCTTACAATTAATAATTTTAATGTATTCACTTAATTAGTCGTTCCCTTTTGTTCAAATCAGGCCTCCAAACAATAATGTAACATTTTGGTAAAAAGATGAAAGCCAGTAAACCAGCACCAGAGGCTAAAATGGAGAAGACCTCCACAGCCACCGTGTATTTTCCCTTGGTACTCAGGTAGGTTGGAACAAAGGTCAACCAAACACTGCAGAAGACCAACATGCTGAAAGTGATAAACTTGGCTTCATTGAAGCTGTCAGGTAACTTCCTGGCAAGGAAAGCTATGCAGAAGCAAACAATGGAAAGAAAACCCATATAGCCAAGAAGACAGAAAAACATAATCACAGACCCCTCATTACATCCCAGTATAATTTCTTCAGTCTCTGAGTGCATGTCAGCATCTGGGAATGGCGGAAAGGTTGCCAACCATATGACACCAACTGATGCTTGGATAAGAGAACATGAAAGGACAATGGATATGGCCAGTGATTTGCCCACCCATTTCCTCATCATGCTTCCTGGTTTGGTAGCCATGAAAGCCAGAACCACTGTCATGGTTTTGGCCAATATGCAAGAAACAGCAACACAGAAAACTATACCAAAACTAATTTGTTGGAGAAGGCATGTTACTTTCAGAGGTGGGCCGATGAAAAGCAAAGCACAAAGGAAGCAGAACAAGAGGGCAATGAGGAGAATATACGAAAGGCTTCGATTATTGGCTTTGACGATGGGAGTGTCATGTTGCTTGATAAATATTCCTAGAACCAAAGCTGTGAAGAACGAAAAGAAAATTGAAAAAATGGCTAAGATGATCCCAAGTGGTTCTTCATAAGACAAGAAGGTTACTGTCTTGCGAACACACAGATCCTGGTCCTTGTTGGGATACTGATCTTCTGCACATTCAGAACAGTCATCCATGTCTGAAAATTGGAAGAGAAAAAAGGTTTATTCTGGTTTCTCAAATCTAATTGTATTTGTTTTGTTCTAAAACTCCAACAATGTAATAGGCTTGTAACAGTGTTATTTGGCATGAGTTCTTATCATAGAGTATGAATTGGATTTTGTTGATTTTTTTAATGCCTCAGAGAAACCTTTCTGGAGATTCTGATTAAGCCAATGAAAAATAACATCAGCAGCAGCAGCACAACCTGAATTGCCAGTACAATATTTCCACCCACCCTTTAATGAAAACCAGTATTTTTACTCCTTCGTGTGGAAACTGATGTCTCCTGCCAGGGGATGGGAAAGGTGGGGAAAATCTTTTTGCTCTGTCCTCAACTGTCACTTGTCCATGGATCTTTCATATAAGTTCTTCAGGAATGTATGATAACCCTGTACACCAAAAGCCTTACCCTCAAGGCTTGAAATCTTCCCATTTGGACAGGGGATGCAATCATAGCAGCAAAATGGTGCCCCTTCCTTCATTTTCTTGCTATAACCTGGACGACACTTGTCTGAACATACAGAAATAGGCTGGGCCTTTGCATAAATGAGAGAAAATGATGAAAACCTTGTCATTACATACCAGTGATACAAATAATTGGTAACCCAGAAATTTCAAAAGAACAAACAAAAATTATTCAGCAAATATATTTGGGCAACTACATAGACATTTTACACAAACTCAATTACCTCTGTATCTCTGTATGTATCTCAGGGCTCAGAATTATAGCTTTCTCTTTCCCCTTTTTATTTCCTTTAATTTTTCCATGTTCTTCCATTAATTTTCAACATAAAATGGTAGAAAGACAGAAAACTGAATACATGACTTGATTTCAGCAAAGCAATGACAGTGTCTTAATTTACTGATTTCAATGGGTCTACTGATTTCGGTGGGTGTATACTGAACATAATTTTGTGTGCATATCAGCCTCTGTTCTATCTTAAACTTTAGAATGTTTTCCTAGTCAACATTTAGGATCTAGCATTGTATAAAGTTACATTTTGATATGTGCCCTTTTGTTCAAATATATTTGAACTTTTACTCTACTTTGCAACCATGGGCGGAGACAGGGGGGCAGGGGATAGCTGCCCTCAAAATTAAAAAAATCAATAAAAATACTTAACTAACTGAGGTTCTGCCCCCCGCCAACATAAATCTTGGCTACACCATGTTTGCAACACCTTGCAACTGTACACAAATGGAAAGAATCAGGAACTCAATGTTTTCAAATGACTTCACATTGTTAGAAGCCAAAAAGGGCAATATCCATCATTACAGTTTGTTGAGGACTTCTGGAATAGAGGAATAGCAGTTAGGCTGTCTCTCTGCTGGCTTTTGCTGACAGAAGATAATTATGTGGTGATTGATTAGTCAGGCAGATTGTCTTACTATTAGTATGGAGATAAGGGTGATCTAGGAAGTTAACCTCAAATGCTTTGATTGAGGCCATTTTGAAGTTACCATCAAAATGCTTTGATTGTGTTAGAGCAAGCTGGCAAGCTGAGAAGTTGTTAACATGCCCAAACACTGCACGATCACTTTTATTGGTATTTTATTTTATGGCTCAACCCGATTTAGCGTAACAAGGAACGCTAAAGAAGATAGATTGATACTGCTGCAGAACGCCGAGAAAAAAGGAGCGGCTGAAGCTGAAGGCAAGTTCTGCCTCATTTTATCCTCTGGCACAAGCCCTATTACTTTGCTGCAGTAAACCATTCTGATTTATTAGTCATGTATAACTTCTTTGAGGGTGACGAGGGTACTGGAGACAGCCTCGGTATTTCTGCTCGCAAATATAAGGGGCACTACAGGACAGAAGCGTTAAAAGCCCTAAAGCTGAGAACTAAAGATGGAAAAGGGAACCGAAACCCTAGAGGCTCACCGAGATAAGGGACAAGCATGAAACCTTGCTTGTAAAACAACCCTCCCCACCTTTCGAAGGTGGGAAACTGGAAGATAAACATAATCCGTCTTGTGATTGAGCCAAGTGAAGCCAAAAAACCCAGGACCAAGAGATTCCAGCAAACTGCTCCCAATTACCTTTTTCCATGCTCAACATGGTCCTTACAAGAAAGAAATATATGGACCTGGGAATTGCACCAATATCACCTCAGGGGGAGTGGGAGCCCCGAAGGAAACAAAGTAAAATCACAATTACTTCCCCCATAAAGAAGGGAATAAGAATCCACAGCACGAGAACACTCCAAAAGAAATTGCCCCTACGGTGCTGGATTGGTCAATACAACGCAAAGACTTACCAACTGAGCATGAAAGACCAAATTATTCCATGAGCTGGGCGCAGGAACTGGATCTAGCTGAGAACGCCTTGATGACCAATTCCCCCAACCCCAATGACCTCGAGCACCAAAAATCAACTCAGAATCTCAGGGAAAACCAGGAAGACCCTCAGAATCTTAGGGAAAACCAGCAAGACCCTCACCCCACAGCGAATCCCAACGGTATAGAAGAGAGGGGTGACCAGTTACACGATCAAATAGATCAGATACGTACAGACCTCTACAATATAAAAAACTTCCTAGCAGGAACAAATGGCCTACTCCTGACGCTCGTGGAGAATTTCAAACAAGCAAAAAGAGCCACAGATCAGTCCCTGGACCCAGATGCTAGAATCCACATACCACCCAAAAAGAACTCACGCAAAAGAAAACCGGAACCCAAGACGAAGAAAACTAAAAACATCAAAAAATTTAAGCCGTCTAGGAAAACTCAACACATCAGTAAAAAACAGTGGCAGAAATTCTTCAACTTATTATCATCACCTCCTATATCCAAAAAAATAAATAAATCAAAGTTCAAGGCACCAAAGAGATTGACAAGGGAGACTTGCCAAAGACCAAACCCCTTCCCATATGTGAAAATAATTCACCAAGTACATTCAAAGAAATAAGCCCCCCCATGGCTGTTCTCCCCCTGTGTTCGCCCAGCCTGACAAAAGCAACCAAACTACAGCTGGATGCTCCTGTCTTGAACCCACCTAGGACCCCTGTAGCAACTGCAAACAGAAGTAGGTCGGGGATCTCCAATATAGACGGGAACCCGCGGGAACTCCAAGCCCCCAGTAGAAAGAGAGAATGTATCCTGGTCCTAAGCCCGGAAAAGATGGTATTCACGAACTATCCAAAACCACTGGGTCCTCACACAGGGACAGACCGCGTGAGGCACCTGCTGACTATTATAAACAACATTCTACCTGGGGCAGTTAAAGCAACCGACATAGACAGCATAGACTACCTATATCAAGATGGACATTCAGTCCGTGCCCTGATCACTTTCACAGATCATAATCTGGTCAACTTCATCTTTAGAACAAGAAATCTATTGTTAAAGAAAGGAATAGATTTATTAAGAATCTTTGAAAACAGAGCCCCGCTAACCTCCCTACAAGGGGGAAGGGAGACCAGGAACAGAGGAACAAAACGATAGAGTGCACATGCAACAAAACCAGCAAAACCAGAGCCTAGTGCACCAGCAGGTAAACATAGCCCCTAGTGAGACTCAACTTCATTTGAACGACAGAGAGGACTCTTTCTCCATAGAAGAACATGCCCTAATAAATCGGTTCTGGTCACTGCAGATGCCAGCCCAAAAGGAAATCTTGGTTAGACTGGACACTCTGAGAAGCAGACTGACCAAAAAGGAGGCCTATGTTGAGACTACGGAAGGCTCACACACACGGCCTATATCCCCCAAATGCCTAGTGGACAAGAGGACGGTGGGAGGCGCCTTTAAATGTGTAGATTCGGAAGACCAATCGCAGCCCCCGCTGGTGTATGGTAAGGCAAAACTAAAACAGACTGTCACATCTCCGAGTACCTGGCTCAACTATCTATAACTCTCCCCAAATGAAATAGCTACTCCCCCAAGTCCAAACCACCCCCTTAAGTCCCCAAGAGCTATGGATAATCATTCCCTTATGCAGCAGATGCCTATTGACAAACTTAATGGGAGTGTTTTTTTAGATGTAAAGGGGTCACTGGACACCGTGAGCCCAACAAATCTACACCATGGAGGGACAGAGAATTAAAGCTGCTGTCCTGGAACATTGCAGGATGGCGCGCAAAGAAAAACAACCAACAACTTGCAATGTTTCTTAAATGATTCGATATCATCCTCCTGCAGGAGACCTGGCACAGCGACCCCATTCTGTTCAATGGGTATTCTTGTCACTCCCTATTTGCTACTCCATCTGTGAGGGGAGGTAGGCCTAGTGGAGGTTTAGCTAGCCTTATCTCCACAGAGCTTGAACATTCCTTAAAAGCCCTCCCAAACTGCAATTCACTAGCCACGGCAGTCCTACTCAAATTTAAAGAAGACTCTTTTTAAAATACTTCTGGGACAGGGGAAATTGTAACTGTTAAGAGGAGGAAATCCTATTGTGGAGGAACTCTGCAATCTGGAAATTTGCAATTACCATCTTCTCTCACTTAAGAAAAAGTGAAAGGAAAACTGATTGTTAAATGTCTAAAGCTGAGTGAAAAGCTTGATTTATGGTTGACCAGAAGGATTAAACAGATGAGGTGAATCCCTGTGTGTGAAAATCTTTATTTCTGTTTCTGTTTCCTGTACTAAAAAAATAAGAAAATGAAAGTGAAGCGGCTCTTGATAGCCATGAAAAATGATTTTTTTAATGAATTAATACATTGCAGCTATAATTCTGAGGTAGAAATTACTTTCGTAAAGCAAAAAATGTGTAATAAAAATTATAAAAAAGAAATGGAAATGTTAAGGTAAACTGAGTTGCTAATATTAAACAGAACATCAAAAGCATCCAGGGTAGTAAATATACTTTTGGATCTCCCAGTGACTGCTGGTATTGTTCAACAATTGATGGCTGAACAATTAAAAATGATCAGATCAATGTGGGATCTGCTCCTTTTCTCTGGTGTAACTCTAACTGTACTGTATTTTAAAGTCTTGTTTTCCCTCTGCTGAGCTCAAACCAAATCAGCCAATGGTAGCCCTGCTCCTGCATGGAATTTTGATCCTATGTAGTGTATGTTTGCTTAATTTAAGATGGCATAATTTGTGGTGGGTTCCCATCCTTAGGAATGTTCCCTTACTGTTTGGTCTTAATTGGCAAGATTTCAAAATCACTTGAAACTACCTGCTTGAAACCACTGTGCCATGTGATGTCACCTTCATTAATGGTGAATGCTTTTGCTCTGGCTTGCAACCTCCCAACTTTCACTCTTCGAAAGGACTGATTTAGGAAAGTCACCCAGTTGATAATATCAAATCCAGCTTCCAGTTCTCCATTCTGGTCAAAAGAAATCTCATCACCAGCACTGTTGTTAAATGAGACTCTCTTCACAAAGTGGTGGAGCTAAGATGAGAAAGAAAATATGTATTCTTCAAATATTTCAATGGCCTACATATGAAACTGTCTTCTAATAATATCAGTACCGTCTACTCCACTTGATACAAATTCTACAAGATCTACCGAGCCTATAATAGCTTATGATTCAAAACATCTTTGATTTAAGAACACCATTCTATTAATGCATAAGAGACTGTTGGATAAGTGGGAGACCTGTAAGCCAAAGAACATATCCAGACTATTTTAAGTTTTGTTTTCCCTAATCAAGGGCCTGTGGTATAAAAAGAAGGCCAAAAGAAGAAACGTGAAGAAATACAGAACAAAAGGATATCTCTCATGTTGTTCTAGAACATTCCAGATACATCCCATATAGACTGCTTTTCAGCAATAGACATTGTTTCACTATGGAAAAAGCAATGGTTGGAGCTGCATTTTATCCCATTCCTCACGTTGGACTCTTCACCACTCATCATTCACAATATTACTTTCACAAATTGGTGTTATATTGGGCTAACGACCGTCACTTTATCAGATAATTCATTCCTGATTCCCTGATCAGAAAAGAATGGTGTAGATGAAGGAGAAGGGAATGGAGGGTGCATGAGAATTCATTCCCCTTCCTTTGGATTGTTTTAGAAATATCAGAATGAAATATTTGATGGTGCTGGGAGAAAAGAATACTTTTCTGGAGCCAATAGATAACTGGAGGACTACAATGTGTGTAGTGCTCCTAAAACGCAAAAGTTTTCATATAAAAAGGTATTAGTGAATATATATCTGCAGTATCTATAATCTTTCTCTCTCTCTCTTCATTTAACATTTAAATATGGTGATGAGATGAAAGTGGTAAAGAAGCCAAGTTCACGAAAACACTGCATATGTAAGAATTGTTAAAAACACACACAAACTTGGTGCTAACTCATATTTCCATGCTTGGGCCATTACCTGCCATGGGTGCGGATCTTGAAAATTAATCGTTCTTTCGTGCTTGAATAATTGCATGGCATGCAAGCCATAGGCCACAGCATAGACAGCATTGTAGATATTGTAGCTGTGGCCAACCATCTTCATTTCAAAAAAATCCCCAGAGAGGCTGTCCAGCTTCTCATTTCCAGTGCAGGATTTCTCACCCTCTGTGCTAACAAAAATATGTGGTAAAAGACACTTGAATGCCTGTACCCAGAAATCACTGATAAAACCATCTTCTTTGGTCCCCAGATGGTTTCTGGTCCGTAAGAAATCATGGAATCCTAATACTTCATTGGACTGAATGGTGAAGCCCAAAGCACCTTGGATGACTTGTAAATCCCAGCCCTTTTGATAAGGGTATGAACTGAGTTCCTGCTGGACTGTTAGAATCCACACTTTACATTTGGGCGGCATTATATCATATTCAATTTCTGGAATGTATAACAGCCACCTGAAATTTATTATGTTTTCTGCATACACAACAACTGCATTGGCATTACTCTCCATGGAAACATTATATATTCTCACCATTGAACCTATAGCTCCATACAGATCATTGATATAAATTACTTCAGTTCTTTCTATGAAGGAAAAACAGATTCCCTGTTGGGGAAACATTGTTGTTATTATCCACACAAATCTGTCTCCATTCTCATCATTTGTGGCAATGACCCCAACCCATGTCCATTGGAAGTGCAAAAGCAACAGGAGAATTCCTTTCTGCTCATAGGTTTCATTTGGGACCATCTGGTAGAATGAATAAGTTTCAGCTTTATCAAGTATCAGTGGAACAGAGCCATATGTGAACTGTGGAAAGATATAAGGGGGATAGGATGGAATGGGATATGTTAAGAGAAATAAAGAAGCCTGACTGTGCATTTTGATTCCCTGAAGTAATAACATAATAACAACTAACCATTACTATATTTCAGTATAATTTGAATCCACATTCCAATGTGTTTCTATATTACATGAGTAATAAATATTCATTTTAAATGTCATCACAGTTATAATTATTATTTATAAGTTAATTATTAGTTTTTATAATCTGTAAATATAATTTTATATATGTATACTTAATTTATTATTTTTATATAATTATTTATGTTTATAATGTATTTATATATCATTTATACAGGGGTGTGCACAGTGATGGCCAAATACATTTTGCCTTAGAAACATAGAATTATGGAGTTGGAAGGGACCACAATGGCCATTTGGTCAAACCCCCTTTTACAAGTGGCTTTACTGGATATATCCTTGCAATACAGGAATCTTTCACCCAACATGGGGCTCAAAACCACAAGCCAAGATCAAGTGACTTTGTCATTTAGCTTTGCTGTATGTCATATGTGCAGATCTGAAAGCTTATCTCAAACATGATGTATCCACAGCAGAAAGTCATATGTGACTGGCCATGATATATCCTACCTGTGGAACTTTGTACATGCCCAATAGTGTTGCCATGTGGAGGGAGGTTTCAGAATAAAGAGCCCCAATGACAGCCATCAGTTGGTTCTGAACACCACATTTATAGTTTGGGAAAAATCTGTTCTCTGCTGAGAGAAGTTGTAATATGCCAATGTAGGTCCAATGTGCAATGGAATAACATTCATAGATATGGAAGCCCAAGGTAACATTTGGTAAGATATAGTGGTTTTCATTTATCTCCTTCACAGCATACACCAATGCTAGGGTGTGCAGATAGTTCTTAGTCAGTATACTATAATGAGATTTGGACGGAACATAAAAGTAAGAGTTTGTTCTTAGTAAAACCTTTACAGTGTTGCTCTTCACCAAAAGCATATGCTGCAGCAGATGTAACTCAACTTTTCAGTTAATTATTTGACCCAGCTCACTCAACTTTTCAGTTAATTATTGGACCCAGCTCACCCAACTTTTCAGTTAATTATTTCAGAGATTATTTCCAGTAGCAAAATATTTGGTTTCCGATATAGTTGAGGGTTCAATCTTTTAAAAGCTTGAATTTAAGATAGAAATTGTCCTGAAATGAAAAATATTGTTTCTTCCTTTAATGGACAATTTTTGATAACTATGGCATGATTGGTATTCACAGCACGAGGGCTTAAAAATTAAATGCCAGACGTGAGTGTGTGTTTGTGTAGGGGATATCATTTGGGAAGGGAAGCTTTAAGCTCTCCTTTCACAGCCATGATTTCAGGATATATTCCCACATAATAGCACATGGCAATTTTTATTAAGGTCACAGCAGAGAAGGAGAGGCTTCAGCCTCCTCTGCCCACACTCTGGGCTCATCCAGACTTCCTTTTTGGCTGCATTTCTGGGCACAGGTCTGGGGTTTCTGGATCCAGCTCTCAGTGGGTTGGTGCTGTTGTTTTTTTATGTCCTGTTGCTTTCCCAAGGTAAACCCGTGTTTTACCGCTCGATCACAGCAGATATTCCATCGATTGCAATTTGTTCTGATTCAACAGTAAAAAACGGGTTTTCCAGGGGGAAGTGCCAGGA